TCATTCCGAGAGGCAAGCCAGTCCCAAGGGGATGAACATCAGTATGGAAAACAATGTGGTTTGCGTTTAAGGTGATGGAGGGAAACCAGGCACTGGGGACTGTGTGATACAGCCATGGGGGCGGGAGGGGGAGATTTCCATGGAAAGCAACCTGTGTCGCGTTTCAAACCGTGACAAGGCTTTGCGGTGCTGGGCCTACAGGATGGATGGCACACTGACCTAGAAATCTCACACTCTGCTGTCAGTGTGTCTTGCTCCTACAGCTGCGGCGCCCGGCTGGCCCGGACTTTTCCCTGACAGTTTCCTTCGACCTGACCGCAGGAGACAGCACTCACTCAATGTTGTCTAAAGAGGATAAGAAGCGGCCATCGAGAGCGATGCTCAGACCTGCCTTCTGGTTTTTAACAACCCAGCTTTCCACTTTACAAGCTTCATTTGGATTTAGATATTATTTCTTGAGAATTCAGCTTTGAATCACTCACGAGAGGCTGCCTTAGTCAATGTGAAATTTCTCCCTGTTCCACTAATAGCTCTTTTACCCAAGGTGGCTGATTTTTATATTCTTGAAAATGAGAAATGAAAACTGGAGCCAAGCCGGAGGCAGGCAATATGTAAACCCCTCTGAGGCCCAAACCCCACGCCCCCTACTCCCTGCTCAATAAGCCCACCCCCCAGGCTCTTCCTCCAGCTGACCTCAGCCTGGTTCCCGAGGGGAGGAGAGAGAAGGCAATCGTTCTGTTCTGCTTTTGTTTGCTTGGAATAATAAATCCAGAGGCCTCCCTTGCCAGAGTTCTTCTCTTGTCAGCAGTTTTCTGTTTCACTCGCTTTCTAAGTCTGGCTGAAACCCAAGCCCTCCTGGTTGGCTTTCGCCCTGACCCCTTGCTCCTGGGAGCTGATCAGAAGACAGAGGGCCTGGGGTCCCTGACATACAGGATGACTTAGCCACCTCGCACCCTGAAAACATATTTCTAAAACGCCTTCCTCTGCAGCCTCCGGGTGCTCGACTGTAACTCAGTCAATGGCAGACATTAGCCTGTCTGCCACCAGCTACTTATAATCTTTCTAATTTGGGTCAGGGACCTAAAACTGTGTTTCTAGCCATGTCAGGGGGCTCAGAAAAAAAAAAAAAACAGGGCTCAACTACCAAATTGGACCTTGCTTTGCAAGAAAATACCTCTCAGAGCCTGGGAATGACCAGAGTCCACTGTTGACTGTTAGAGAGAGATTGATGCTGATAATAATCCCAATTCCAAATGAGAAACACCTCAGCCAACCAGACCGTGTTTCGGCATGCTTTGCAAAGGCCAAGTGCACAGGCTGATACTAAGAATATTCCAAAAGGCAATTTGTATATGCCGAAGATTTGAGAGAAAGCCAGGTATTGTAGCACTAGATATGCCTGGTATACACTTTGGTGGTAACTGATATTTCCAGGTGATAACCTCAAAGTTTTGCCAAGTATTGGAATCTTCCTGGAAAGATGACATTACAGTCTATCTAGATCATTCATGCTTAAAGCCCATTTTCATTGAATCACCTATTTCACAGTTATTGAAAGAATCAAATGTGATAATGTACACAAATGATCTTTGAATGTGGAGGGCTAAACATCAGATGCCGCTATTATTTCTAATAATTCGTTAAAAGTCGGCAATCAACATGTTGTAGACTCTGTATGATCAAATACTTGGTAATCAGGATTGTTAGTTTAGCGTAATATCTCATTCCCCAAACATTCTGGGTCAAACAGAGTTGAACTGAAAATACGTACTCGGAAAGCATGTAACAAGCTCTATGGCTATTTTTGCTTTCTTCTCACCAATGTATGTTTCAGGGAAACAGTTGCAACATTGTACAGAGGCTAACAAAGGAGAACAGCCCGAGGAGGCTTCGTGAACTTTTCTCTATGATGCGCAGTAACCAAAGACATCAGACGAGGTAAGACGACGTCGCCAAAACACATGGACAATATACTAATCGAAGTCTTCGACAGAAGCCAACCTACAAAAGACAGTTCCCATACCCTTGAGGTCTTTGTACCCCCTCAGAGAGCCTGGCACGTGAGGTCTACCCAGTAAGTGATCAGGAAGGACAGATGGAAGAAAGGACAGACCAGGACTTCTGAGGACGCCACCTGCCCATCAGTTACTGCTCTGAAATGGCAACGGGCCGTGGGGCTTTCTGTACTTGTTTCCCAGACTTTCAGATTTTCTCCACTCGTTCATCTCCTGCATCCACATTCCCCTGAACAATCCTTTCTTAATTACCCTGTGTACAAACACAACACTAACTGAGTGAGTCTCTTTAAAGGTCCTGAAAATCGGTTCTGCTCCATATTTAATGCCAGATCATTTGGCAGCTCTCATTTAAGACAAAGGTGAGACAAACGCACTTAATCTGGGGATTTCTGTTTTGGTCTTAACCTCTCCTTTCTCTGTCTGGCCGTCAGAATGAGGAGCTGGGCGCAGGACTTGAAAGGCGCCATCCTCCATGGCTTCTCCAGATGGTTTCCGGCCCAGCCCTTACAAGTGGGGGCCAATCTAGAGGGGCCCTAAAGGCAGCCAGAAACGCCTTAATATTAATCTTTTCTAATATGAAAGACTGTTCAATCAAGCAGGGAAAGCACTGAGGTGTAGCCAGATGGGCCCTTAATATTTCATTCTAGAAATCTGTCTTTGGAACATTATACCACCCTCCTCCTACACAGTGTCTTTTCACAGCATCTTTTTTGGAGAAATAATAATACAAAAAGGTCCACACTGCTGGACAGTTAGGATGAAAAGAGAGGAGAAATCTCATGCTACCACAAGACGCCAGACCCCTTTAAAAGGACTTCAGGGGACAGAGAAGGGACAAGTCTCCTAAACACAGAGAGACAGTTTTAGGAATGGTTTCCCTTTGGTTGGAGTCTAGAAATCTGACACTGGGACCAGTTCTTCTTCACCCCTACTTAGAGACACAGCCCCCCAAAACTAGCCTGCCATGGCCGTGACATGTATCAAAGAGAAGCTCTGGGAAGTGCCCACACCATCCCTGGTGTCCATCCACAGGCCCAGAGACCGGCTGACATTTGCCTTCCACATAACAAGGATCCAGGGGTCGCTGGCAAGTGGCTGGTGCAATGTTGTGAGTTAACCGAAAGGCTGAGCTCCCCAAACAGTCCTTTTATCCCTACTCGGTCTTCCCTGAGTTGGAAAAGTTTCCTGGGACATAGTGGTCCAAGGCTCTTGTTCCGACTCTTCCTTCCATTGAGATCTGATTGTGGGAGGGATCCTTTTGCCCCACCCGCTCCAGCCCCATTTCCCTTGTGTCTTTATTGCTGAGACCATTGGCCATCCATCTGCAGCCTCTTCAGACAGGAGAGGACTCCACAGCTGTGGGCAGAATGGGAAAGCCAGCGCTTCCCAGCCTGAGTCTAGGGAGGGACTTCTGATCCTGCCCCAAACCGCTTTTTCTCCCTCCTCTTCCCGGGAAGCACCCAAATCTCTTCCACTCTTCCTTAGAGCTGGCCAGGGAGATTCCGCCATCCAGGGTCAAGGAGAGATCAGAATAGGCCGGGCATCTATTCAGCGGCCCTGCAAGTCTGACATTCAAGGCCTCGCGCGCTAGACCTCGCCCCGCCCCGCCCTGGTCCCAGCTCATTCATTCCGGCCGGTCCCCACCTTCCAGGCTGCGCACCGCTCCCAGCGCTGCTTCCCGGGGCAAGTCTGCCGCTCACACCGAGCCCAATCCCTTGGTGCTTTTAAATCTCAGAAGTAACCTCAAGAGAATTTTAGCGTCACACTTTTCACACCCCCAGCGTACCCTTTTAATAAAATAAAACAATCTTCAGTCTCTCGTATCCTCAAAGGGTTAAGCAGTAAGCTTGGCAAAAGAAAATCCGTCCCCTAGCCACCCTCCACCCCCAGCCATAGCTCCGACACGGTCACCGAAACCCGGTGCCAACGTCTCTCCATCCCCATCCCGGATAGGGGGCCATCACCCCGTGAGCGGCCCCTGCTTTCCTCTGGGTACAGAGATGAGCCCCCTCACCCTTCCGTGGATGCCATGGTGTGGGGAACGCCCCCTCCTCTTCGGCACAATCCGGCAGCGGCGGGCGAGGGAGTAGGCAGGCGCCGGGGTGAGAGCGCGAGTGTGGCCGCGAGCGGTATTTAATGGGGAGCCTCTCCCCGCCCTTCCACCCGCCTCCTGGGTAAGCCCTTTAGCGCCTCAAGGGGAGCGGGAGGCTCTGCTGGCGCTAATCTGCGTCTCGGCTCTCCTCTGTGCGCGTCCCGCTCTCCCTTCCACCCGCCTCGGCGGCACTTGGCAGGGCGCTCGGTGGGTGCAGAGGGTGGCTTCCCGGAAAGAGCGCCGCCCCGGGGCTGCGGGAGGGCTCGCACGAACAGTGCGCCGCCACCGCAGACACCTGTGCCAGCAGCGGAGCTTGCAGGCGCGGCGAGAGGCGGAGGGTGAGAGCGGAGGGTGGCGGCAGAGGAGCACGAAGAGTGTGTGCTGGCGTGCGCGCGTGCGAGGGTCTGTCCCGGTCCCCGCCGGGGGAGGGGGTGGGGGCCGCTGCGCCCTGGCTCTGCGCCGGCCGGGGAGGGATTGCAAGGTTTAGCCCCGCCGGAGCTGGGGATTTGCAGGCGATCCCTCTCTATTTTCGTCGAGAGCTGACATCACGCGCGCCGCCGCCTCTGGAGACTCCTTTAATTGCCGCCCCTAGCCCCCCATCTCCAAGACGCGGCCCCTCCTCGGTCATCCCTCCCCCCAGCCTCTCACCATAAATTAGCCAAATAAGAAAAGAGACCTCGCTAGTTGCCTGGGAAGGCCTGAGCAGCCGTGGCAGGAGCCCAGGATCTGAGAAGTCGCTATTGTTCCCGCTCAAGCCCGCGTGGATCCGGGTCACCCCGCGCAGGGAGAAGCACAGGTTACAGCTCTGAGACCTGGGATGCCCCTGGGTCCCCGGCTCCCTCGAGCTCTCCGTCTCACTTTTGGACCGACTTGCTCTGGCTCATACTCACCCCCAAGCTCACGCTCACAGGCAGCACACCCACTCCATCCTCCCACGTCCTGGGTACCGGGACCCGTGGAATCCAAGCGACTGAAACGCGGGTGGCGTGGCCAAAATGCAGCCCAGCTGCGCTCCCTCCCCCTTAGCTGCCCGAATAAATCTCTGGCCTTCTATTATTCATAGGGATTAATATTAATGCAGCTCCCTGGAGGTGGCGGGCGGGTGCTGGAAGGCCGCAGTGTTTTTAAGCCAAGGGAAATCGGCCTGGGGGTGCTGGCTGACAAGGCGCAGAAAGATGGCCCAGGCTAGTGACGGGGAACGCGTCTCCACCCACTGGCTAGCCACCGGCTACTGAGCCCCGGGGACAGCGCTCGGCCAGATGGGCTTGGACAAGGGAGGGTCTGAGCCTCCCCTCCGGCTTTGCATAATAATGGAGAGATCCGTGCAGACTGCATTGTCTTTGGTGCCCAGCAGACACCTACAGCTCTACCACCTGCCGGACGCCGTGACCGCATGAAGGAAAAGCCTCACTTTCCCCGCCTGCTAAGGGGGATCAAAAATAACCCCCTTCGCAGGGCCGCGGTGAGAATTAAACTCTCTCTCTCTCCCTCCCTCCTTCCCTCCGTCCCTCCCTCTCTCCAGGCGGGGTCTCAGAACCGGTGGTGTCTGCTAGACGCCTGTCTCCCCACTTAGCTTTCCTGGGGTAGACCGTCCTCAGCCTCCTGCCATGCGGACCCTGGTCAGAGGAACGGTATGCGTCTGGCCACATGGAAACTCACGGAGCTCACCCAGGGGACCAAGGCAGCGCCTCCGAGTCCCAGCAGGACCGCTAAGTGGTTAAATGACAAGCGCTGGCATCGGAGAGCGAGTGTGCGCTCTTCACCACCTTCCAGTGCAGTGACGGGGGGCAAACGCTCAACTTCTCTCCATCCCGTCTACAGGGCAGGAGTAACAGCCTCGAACTCGCAGTGCGAAGAGAATGAAATGAAATGGAAAAGAAAGGCAAAGGCTCAAAACTAGAGTTTTGCACCCAGCGAACCCTCACAAAATATTCGGTTAAATTTAAGGGTTCTTGGAGGATAGTTTCTTAAACACAATATCTAAGGATGCAAAGGCAGATAAGAGAAATAGCCAAAAAAGAAAAAGAAATAAAAAGAAGTTAAAAACAAAACCTCTGCCTCACCTCCTTCCTCTACCCACCTTCCCCAAATCTGCACCCAAACATCTCCCACCAGCCACGCCTCCCTCCACATCTCTCTCCTCTCCTCCGCTCCTACCTTTTGTCTGCCCCTTTAGATTAACCAGATCTAGATCTTAGTCATCGTAGGACGCTCACAACCCCTCTCAATCTGCATTTTCCCTTTTAAATTTTAGTTATTACATTAATGTATAAATCTGTGGTAAATGTATGGGACCTACATAGATGGAGAGCTACTATCTTGCACCTTGGTGTTAGACTTGCACTGCCTTCTCTTTCGTCCTACCAAGGGTGGATGTGTGACCTTGTATCTGAAGTTGTCAGGAGCAAACCCCCGAAGTCTCATTTTCTCTTTACAGTTAGGGATCTGACCTCCCTCTGTGCTGAGGCAGCCACTGGAGAACAAAGCCCTGGGGATCCCTCCCAGGCCTAGACAGTGCTGATCCCAGCAGCGAGGCCGCCACCCTGTTTCAGATGAGTGTGAAGGAACTCCCCCACCACGGTCCCTCCGTATCTACACGTGTACGGGCCGGGCTGAGCTGCACTGGTGAGCAGCACTCTCTGTCAAGAGCAAGGTAGCTACTGATAGGGAAACACAGGGTAAGTAGCAGGAAAGAGAAAAGGGGTGGGGCTGTGTTTAAACCATCCAATTAAAAAAGACTCTCCCTCTTGTGCTAAGTGAGGTAAGTCAGAGATGTATGACATCATGTACAGGTGGAATCTGAAACAACTGAACTTGTAAAAACAGAGTCAAATGGTGGTTGGTGAAGGTGGAGGATGAAATTGGGAAGATGGCATTTCAGGCAACCTTGCCTTAGTAAGTCCCAGAGATCTCTACAGACAATGGTCCTGTATTGTAAACTTCAAAGTGGCTAAGAGACGAGATACAACTTGCTCCCACCACGAAAAGAGAAGATAATTCTACAACATGATAGAGGGATTAGCTGGAGCTAAGGTGGTGATCATGTTTCAATATACAGGGTCCGGCACAAATCAAGTCCCCTTTTGATTACAAAATCATAAGCATGTAATTTTGTAACATAATAACATCACCCTCAAGCACACCCTATACCATTTTAGGTGAAATGTTCAAATTAAAACTATAAATTATCACACTCACATTATTACCCTACCAACCAATCACACTCACGCAGACGCTTCTTCTCCAGACCCTGTATAAATGTAGCAAATCAACACATTGTACATCTTGAACTTACACAGTGTTATATGCCAATAAAATTGTACTTCAATAAATACAAAAATTATTTTAAAATAATTGTGTTCCTGGTTTTCAGGACCTGAGAGGATTCGGGTGACTCACCAAACACAGCCCGATTAGATGGGGGTTCGTGACATCACTCTGCCCCCTTCTCTAGAAGTAACCATGTTTGGGAACCTGACATCCATCCTACACTTGAGAGACATTTGTATTCAGCTGCCCTGGGAGACAAGGCCTATTAAATCACATGGAAGGAGCCCTGGCTGGTGTAGCTTAGTGGATTGAGCGCGGGCCTGGGAACCAAGAAACCACGGTTCGATTCCCAGTCAGGGCATATGCTTGGGTTGCAGGCCAGTTCCCATCAGGGGGCTCACAAGGGGCAACCATACATTGATATTTCTCTCCCTCTCTCCTTCCCTTCCCCTCTAAAAATAAATAAATAAAATCTTTTAAAAAAATCATGTGGAAGGGATATGTCACTGATAATTCTGGATAATATCCATTAGTAGCTATGAGGAGCTGATTCCCTTCACTCACACCAGAGGTCTCCTGCCAACATCCCCTCCAGTGCCCCACTTCTGAAGCAAACTGGAGCAGTGCTTTGTAACACTGGCTGCTCAGAGCTTTTCACCAAACAGCAATGCTCAGGCCACCCTCCCGCGATTCTGGTTCCATCGGCCTGGGGTGGGGGGCCCTGATTTCGGTATTCTTAAAGACTTCCCCAGGTGATTGAACCTACTATGCAGCCCATGTCAGGAGCCACTGGACTAGAAATAGTTCAACAAGGTGGAGCGAGATTCGGAAACAGGGCCCCTGGAAGTAGCCTGGTGAGAAAACGGGTGTGTTTAGCCTTTGGAAAGGCAAAACTGGGGAGGACACGATACAAGGCTGACCCTCCTCTTTTCAAACACAGGGAAATAAAATGTTTATGCAGGCACTTGCGTGTCGTTCTGGACAACTAATTGGAGAAGGTACAGAAACACAGAACGTTCTCCTTAGGTCGTACTCACATGGAACCTGGACGGTGAGCCCCTGAGACTGCACCGCACGGCCTCAGTGCTGGAACGGAGGAAGCCCGCCTCAGGGTCAGGCAGACCTGCCTCAGACCCTGCCCCTCCACGTGTTGGGCTCTGTGTCACCTTAGGCTGCGCACTTCAGGTTCTCAGCTTCCTCATCTATAAACTAGAGAACACAGTGATGGCCACCTCAGAGTCCCCGGGGGAATCAGTGGGATAATACGTAGGAAATACTCAGCTCTGAGCCTGGCACGCCATGAGTACATAACAAAGGGTCATCGCAGACTCGTGGGAGTGGCAACGTGCACCCGATTTAATTTACCACTGAGCGCCTTTGAAAACCTAGCCTTCCCTAAAGCCACCCCCACTGTGACCCTATTCACTCGGTTTCATCCTCGCAACACCTTGTACGTCTCCCAACCAGCATTAAGTGGATGGAGCCTTGAGATGAGAACAGAACCAGGTCCACCCCACCCGCCAGCAGGAGCGATGCTGAACTATCTGCCCCCCCTCAGTCTCCCCTGGGGAGCCCATAGCAGAAAGGTTGGGATGCTCTGACATTGGCATACAGATTTGCCTTTCCTAAATCTAGCTTACTGATCCTCAAACTTAGTGTAAGAACTATTCTGTCAGACCAAATACAAGAAGAAGAAGAATAACTATATTATAACTCTGATAGGTGACTGAAGGGACTTTCAAAGTTAATTTTTACTGTCAGAATTTCTTTTTTTTTTTTTTTGCCTTCCTGGTGTCTTTCTTATTTAAATTAAATCAAGAGCCTATCACAGTCATGAGAAGTTGAATTAATGTTTAGGCTGGGAGTTCATGATGGTTATAACATTGCCCTAACATTTACTGAGCCCGTACTGTGTGTGTTCAAAGTATCTAAATATGTATAACCTTGCTTGGTTCTTGAAATGGCCTACTATAGAAAACATTATTATTACCTCTATTTTACAGGGGAGAAAACTGGAACCCAGAGAGGTTAAGGAATTACCCAATGTTACACAGATGAGCGGTGTATCATCAGTCTAGGTCCAAGCTAGAAAAAGACAGTACATTCAACTTAAGTGAATTGTGCAGGGTTTGATAAAGAGATTATTTAGAAGGGTACATGAAGGGTAGCAGCAAACCCTAGGAACAGTGCAGACGCCCTGGGCTGGTAACAGTGGGGCACCATTACCCACCCTAAGCCTGAAGGGAGGTTTCTGGGATCTAAGGGGGAGTGGTGTATGGAAAAGACCACCTTTCAGGAATGGAGACCTTTGTTGCCACAGCAACTGCTGGAAAGGGGGCCTGGGAATAAATAACTCAACTGCACTTCCCTCCTGTTCTTCTCTCCCTAGTGGGCCAATAAGGAGGCCAGAAGGGAGAGAAAGGCAGGCAGGAACGCCCTCTGATACAACTCCTACGCACTCCTTGCAGTTCAGCCTCCCGTGGGTAACAGAGCAGGGTGGAGAGAGATGGACAGAGGAGCCACAGGGATGAGCTGGGGTTTGAGTTCAGGAAGTCTTCCTGAAGAGCTTTACTTGTAACCTCTCTGCTATGTAATCTATAGCATATAATGTCATCATTACTCGAACAGGTGGCTCCCATGGCCTGCAGGACCTTCTCCACCTGAGATGACCTCTCAGCAGAGGAGACTCAGCCAGAGCATTTGTTAGAGAGTAGGAGA